AACACAGTTCACTTTCAAAAGCCCTTCTGATATTATCATTGTTTTCACATGGATCCGGTTGCAGTCTCTTTTTTTCTGTAGCCACTCCGAAGTCTTGTGCATTTTACAGCGGGTGAATCTCAAGATGTCACTGGTGATTGTCGTTTGAACCTTTCTGGATCTGCCATCAAATTGATAAGTTTAATTATATCAATAAATGCTGTGAGAAAATGCTATAGATCTCCACCTCCAGTATCCTCACACGTAATATAGCCGACTAGCCGAGACTCCTTCTTTATGTGTACAGATGTGATGTAATGACACAAATACATGCTCGGATCTCCCTTGAAAATCCACCAGCTTACCTTTTTGAATTGAGCTAAGCAGATAGTTTTGAACATTTACAAAACATTTATTTTGGATATTTTTTTAACCCAAAAAAGGTATGGACAGCAGCTTTAAATATCATTCTTTAAAATAAGATGTTGGGTCGACTATTACTTTAAAAGAGAAAATAAAGTTTCAGACACACAAATATGCACACAAAAGCTACAACAAGAGGCCTATCTTATTTTATTGTGTCCTACATGTGTTTACTATAGTAATAACAGTATATTTTGCATAATTACAAGCGACTAACACTGAAACAAACCCTAACCCTATAGTGCATGTTGTTACTCAATATGGCTCAGTACTTATTTGTGTAATTACACCGTAACAAGGAAACTTGCAAATAAAGTGTGAACGGCTCAACAATATAAACATTTAATATGTCCTCAGGTTTAGTTTCCATGTGGATGTTTACCTCAATCCATCTGTTTCCGCTGAAAGGAATGTCTTTGGGTTTTGTAAGAATGGAAGCTTATATTTAATTGATCTGAATTAAATTGACGTTTGCGCGTACTTGAATTTCTTAATAGCGACAAAACATGTCAGTAACAACAAAACAAGGTGTGCATCCCAACAGATGTATTAATCTTCTATTTTTCACTGCAGATGTCTCTAGGTACTGTAGACAGCCAACACAATTATCAGGTAAAACCTCAAAATCCATTTAATATACCTCAATTTACTCTCCTCCTTCCCTCGCACATCTTGATGGTAATTCATCCATTTTGAGTGGGAATTATTCCCTCATCCATTGCACAGTTTCTTCAAGGGGGCTCTGATGAAAGCTCTTAGAGCTCTGGATCAGCATAAGGCCCCTTGTATATTTACAGGGGCTCATGACAGCTGCATTAGCAAATCTAGCAGTTGCTATCAAGAGCAATACCCTTGCCATCTCCTTGCTCCACTAACAACTAAATGTTCTTGACTGAGGCTGCGGAATATCTCAGGAATTATAAATCAAGGCCTTGATAGAAACTTGGCCGCCACAGCAGTGATCCGTTGTCATGTTACAGTAGATTGGACTGTTTAAAAGTTACTAGACAGTTCAGGGATTAAGCACGGAGGGACAATTGGGTTTAATTATAATTTGAGAACGGCCCTCCTTGTCACGGCGACCACTGTTAAAGCCCGATCCAGAGAGCCGGTCCACATTCCTGAAGTAGATAATTACTGTGATCATCGTGGGGATGCGCACATCTTACCATGTCTATGATCTATAAGTCACTTGCTGTGCTACACCTCAAGCAGACACACACCATACAGAAATCCCCTTCCCAACAAAGCATCCCTGCTTGATCCAAGGCTGTGTGAGAATGATGCTGTGGGAGTGGGTGAGATCTATTGAACAGCCAGTCACGGCTCAATATGAAGTTTGTTTGTTGCCTCCCTTGTCTGTGGCATATGCAAATCAGTCGAGTGGGAGGGGTGTGTGTGTGTGTGTGTGTTTAGCGGGGTCAGTCTGTGGGAAAGTGAAGGAGCTAATCCTGAGTGTTTCACAGGGGAGGAGAGGACCATTCAGTCGCCCTCCCCTCCCGTGAGCCCACCCCACCACTACAACTCATTGCATGCCACTTCTCAAGACAAGGACGTTGTGTTTTCTCTTTGTATCAAAGTCCCCTCTCACCCCACCCCCCCGTATACACACAAACACTTTAATGCTGAACACCTGTTTCTGTACACACACATCCCGCTGATGCAGAGACATGATAAAATCCCACGCTCCCATCTACCGTGGATCACAAAAAGACCTTAAGCATCCAAACTGTGGATAATCACAGAATTTGATATCAAATGGTATCAATCTTAACTGTCAATCTTTTTATGCATTTTTCAAGTTTGAAATACATTAATTGTTCAGTACGAACATTTGCAAGTAAATCCGGCACCCATAAGTTATCCCACACTTACACAATCGATTCTTACATACTTCTAAAATGATTGCATAACTATTTTCATAACTGCCTTCAAGTGAATGGGAAGCTCCTGCTTGAGTTATGGAATCACACATTCAAGTCATTACATTTCGTTGTCCTGCATACTGAGCCTGGTTTCTCCCAAGGTTTTTTTTTTTTCTCCATTCTGTCACCCGATGAAGTGTCGGTTCCTTGCCTCTGACTTGCTGAGTTGGGGACGCTTAATATTCATTAATATTATTGACTTGACTGCATTTACAACATTATAAGAACTGAACTGAGCTGGACGATGACATCACAGTTTTGCTGCAGAAATGCTTTATAGGTGAAATTAATTTCATTATGTATTATCTTTAAACTGGAACTGAATTAATACTGAACTGACTTCAGCTAAGCAATGACACAACTTTCTTTGAGAGCTGTTGTATGGACTAAATTTACTCTGTTTGCATCTTTGAATCATTTTACTGTTATCACAGTAAAGCTGCTTTGAAACACTGTTTTGTATAAAGCACTGTACAAAAAAGTGACATATTTGTATGAAGCTAATTGTCAAAGTGAGTGATCAACTTTTTATTAGTTGTCTATTAAGTTATTCATACAAAGCGCCTTAATATTACAGTACATAAAATGAAAATAATAGTATTTGATCAAAACAGTTTTCTAAGTGTCACCCCATTTTTTTGAATAGACATGGAAATGCACATTTCAAACTGCTTTGGAATATAGACGTAAGGTTGGTTTTGTTTTAAAGAAGACATTTGGCAGATTTTTGTAGAAGTGAAAAAAAGTAAAAAAAAAAAAAAAAAGTTTGAGTTTATGGAAATGTAAAATGTAAAAAATAATAATTATTCATATTTTATACAGTATAAAATATATATATTCAAAACCTGGGCTAATCTAAAATTGCAGAAAAATCAAAGCCAAAATTTTGAAAAAGTTGTGTTTAAAATTTTAGGTTGATATCTCAAAAAATGAGCTTTCAGTAAGATTTTGTTTGGGCGCAGTACCAAACTTTTTCAATAGGGTACAAACAGACTCCATTACTGCCCATATAAGGGTGCCTCCATTTTCATGTGTTTCTGAGTGATATAAACCATTATTTTCACAATTTTCATATTATGAAGTAGACATCCTATTTCAGTAGAATATAGACATCCATAGAAGACATATTCATCCAATTCCTATTTCAATTTTTAATTTATGAAGTAGACATCCTATTCAGAAGTAGTCTGGGAAGTTTGGCAGATTTTGATATGAATTCAACCTCTAAGAAACACATACAAAGAACACACATGTGTGCTATATACCTGCCACATCACAAATGGTGAATTTATTGTGGGGTTTTTTTTCTTTATATTTAAAAGTCATTGAATGGAAGCAATCTTTTAAACTTGGCATGAAAACAAACTGAGGTTTCTAAAAAATGTTCATGATTTTTCATGTTCATCACTATTTCAAAATAAAGGTCTGAACACGCCTTATACATAGCATGTGAAACTATTCTTGTTGCAAATTGATAAATTATAGCTTCTCTGTAATTTATTTTGAAAACCAGAGATTTTAAGCTTTCAAATTATATTTAGTTTGTCAATATTACTTAAGGTATTTTCTAATATATTATTGTTTTAAAAAAATATAATGGCAAGCGTCCCACCTGTGGGATGGTGACAGTTAAGGGTATGTCTCTTATGATACCAAAATACACCAGGAATATTCATTAAAAAGCTTTGAATGGCAAAATCTACAGCGTTGGATAGTTTTTTTCAATACAATATTGTCCACTTGAAGACCTCCCGATCCCCACTTGCGTGTTCCAGGCCGTTCCATGCCTTTAGTGTTTCATGATGGTGTTCACTTCACCCAAAGTTATGCTGCCCCTTATCTGAAAACAAAGCCAATCACCCAGAATCCTGCTGTGCCTCTGCCCCACCAAACATTATCGGTCTTCAACGTCATCAAATCACCAACAGCAGTCAATGATAGGAAAGAAGAAAAAAAAGTCTTGGAAAATATGTGGGACACTCCATGAGCCAAAACCCAATACAGACTTCAGCCGCACTATTGAAGCCAGATGTTTACTTAACTGGCCAATTTTGATAAATGGCGTAATGATAACCATTATGCATTGGGGTAATTTTATATCTGCACAGCACCACATTGTTTTTGTTTCACAGCCAAACAAACTGTTTGTGCCCACGGCCAGGTGCTGGTTTCGACCTAATTGATAAGCAGACAGCAGGACTGTGGTTTTCATGTTCTTCCAACATGGCATCCACAAAGACCTAATGTGCCTTATTCTCCGCCCTTACTGAACTATAGCATTAGAGATGCTTTGCTATGTGTAGTCAGTGCTTATGGCTTATCAAATGGACACAGTGTCGTGTAAGCTATTTGAGCTACAAGATATCCATAAAACTCTACAAAAAGAATGTTGTCCACATTATATTGTAGTCTTTACCCAACATACCAAGATTTGCCTCTGGCATAACTCATGTTTCGTCGACGCATTTGCTTGTGGGGAGAGTGTAGAAAACCACACAATTAACGTTTTTCCTATGTTCAGTGTGATTACGTTTCCCACTCGAAGCAATATGCAATTTTACTCACCTACAAACAATATTCGGTTTTCATAGCTGGTCATTGATATATCACTTGTGCAAGAAAAACATACTAAAGATCCGCAATGGAAAAGCAATGAGTCCAAACAACAGTTGCTTTGTAGCATAGCTCATTTTATTGTTTAAACAGTTTTGCATAGGAAATATATCCACTTCCAGTAATTGACTGCAGTAAAAACAGCTGCTAGCAGTATAGGCTGGATATAACAGTAACAATCACAAAAAAGTCAAGCGTTATTTACACTCATTTGTAATCTTGTGGCATTTTTAGCCCCCGCACCAAATTCAACCAACTCGAAGGCAAGGCAATGCCTACTGTTTATAGCTGTGAAAATGAAAAAAGTCAAAATCGACAGTAAATAAAAAAAGGCCTTCACTATACAGCTTCTTTAACTGTGAGTAAAAACACAAAAACTTGATAAAGTGATTCTATAATGTACATTCAGAACATACAGTAATATTTGCATACAACTGTTGTTTCCACAATCACTACTAAAAACTGTTACGACTTAATAACATTTGTTGGTGTTAGTGTTGTTGTTGTCATGTTATAAACCCACTTAACACAATACAACTGAATTTGTAACGGGCATAAAAGTGCCACAAGACCCCCTCCCCCCTTTAAAAAAGCAAAGGAAAAAAAAAAATAAACAACTTTGCTGTGGAGCTGGCATTTTTTTTTTTTTTTTTGATCTGACATTTTTTTGTCATCTATTGTAGTACTAAGTGTAGCCTAGAGAAACACACTGCCCAACTATTACTTGATCTCCGTGAAATAGAGACTGGGGTATCCCATTTGACTAAATTATTCAAAATTGAAGAAAGCACAAAAGCACAAAACACAGGACCAGGACAAAAAAAAGAAAAAAAAAAAAGAAACGTTTGCTGGATAAAAAACATGGGAAGAGGCATCCCATAGAATCTATTTTGATTGAAGAATTTTTTTTGTATTCCCTAAAGAAAATTCCTTGTTTTTATATTTACAAGGGAAAGTCCACTGAGACTTTGAGCTGAAACAGGCACTGCTTGAAATATTTTTTCCTTTATTTATTTTTTTTTTTTTGGTAAACGTCTCATAATATGCTGGTTTTTATGTTCCTGTTTATGTCAATGATCACTCATGCTGTTGTAAATGCCCTAGAAATGGAAATATGAGAGTAGATGTCCTGCCGTTTCCCTGCACTGACACACAGAAGAGCTGAAAATAGACATTGCATGAGTTCCACTGGTCCTCCTTGCATAAGTTATAAACATGTGGCTTCTCTAGGGCCATGGACCATGGCTTTCCCAACTTGACCAGGCCATCATCTTACTGCTTTCAATATCTGAATTCTGCAACAAAAACTATTTTCAAAAAGATCAGCCCTTTGAAAAATGAAACTACTCTATACAGCTACTTCTAGCCAGAAATAAGGTTTAATCTGATCGTTGTATAAGCCTGGTGACATTGTTTGCTGTGGTGAGGGGAAGTGCTCCGAGCTCCCGTGACAACATTCGGTCCGACTAGATACAAACACTATCTAATTGTAGCTCCGAGGCTAATCGGAGCATCATCGCTAGCTAGACGTAATCCAAACAACAAACAAATGTGCCAATGAAAGGGGTAGTGGGAACTGCAGAAAGTGCAAATGCTCAGCTGTTTTCCTCAGTGATGGCAACATGAAAAAGACATCTGTGGGTGCACACAAAGGCTTCTGAGAGTACCGAGCCTGCCCTGAAAACTATGCAGCATTCATCCCTGCCCATGGCGGACACATGTAAACACTGCAGAATGGAGGTGCCTACGTGCAGCAGAAAAATCTCAGACTTTCGGATGGCAAATTCTGTACATGGTGTGGTGGGTCAGCCTCTATTGACGCGGGGGAAATAATGCATGCTCTATTTTTCACAAGACAGCAGAACAATCTGTGATGTCGTGTAGCGACATTACCCTGGTAGTTGTTGTTGGGAGACTCAAATCTGGTGCCTTGCTTCTAAAGTGACTAGGAGTTCCCAAACGGTTCAAAAGAACAAATAACGACCCTATTTAGCACAAATTTGAACATTATTTCTTGTCTCATTTTCAATATCACATAATCACATCACACACACACACACACACTCTATGGCCACACTAACAAACCAACACTTCAAACATTTATGAAATGTCTCAAGGATCCAAGTTAATCAACACGAAATACAACAAAAGACCTTCATCATTTTGTTTAAAACATTTACAGTCCCATACGGGAATTCACTCCACTTTATAAGTACAGGAAAATAAAAATAAACAATTACATATTCAACCTCTTATGTATCGGACAGCCGTTGAGTCGTAACACAAATCTGAACTCAAGACAGGTTCGAATTTTTTGTTTGTTTTTTTTTTGTTTCACTAAAAAATATGGACATCACTAAAATTCACGAATACACGTCAAAAGTTTTTCTTTTTTACAAATGGGGAGAAGAAATAAATTTACAGTGTACACACTTTTGTCAAAAAGGCAGGCATTTCAATAGAAGACCCTCATGTACTCTCCTCTCGTAGTGTCAGAGTCATCTTGAAACACGCACTCTGACGTATTCATCCACACACACACACACACACACACACACGCGCAGTTCACATAGCTGCCAGAGCAGATTTTAACCCATAATGACTACTACCGAAAACTATTGCTATTACGATGGCCATCGAGATGACCCCTACCTACGCCCTCCTTCACGGTTTCGAACACAAGAATGACTCTATGACCCTGACACTCCCACCACTTCAGGAGGAAATGCACAATGCACTTCAGTGGCATCGCCAACGGTCAGAAGGCTGCAAAGCACTTTTTTTTTCTTTTTTTTTTTTTTGCAAATCAAAAACAACAAAATGACGGAACAGTGCACATTGAACGGGGTGACTCTAGCTTACTCTATATATAAACATCTTGGATGGAGGAGGAGAGTTCAGCTTGACTTGAGGTCTCAGAAAAAGACTGAATAGTGATTAACGCAAGAGCTACAATTCTTAACCATGGTGATGTGAGGGGGATTTAATTGTTATTATTAATTGCTGGTAATGCCCTGTGAAGCAAAACGCCTGAGTTTTTGTTGTTCTGTATTTAATTGAAAGACACTATGGGTGGATGATTGCCTATATGCTGTAGGTGCAAACCCATTTTTTTCCCCCTTGATCCTCAAGACCATAAGAGCATTAAATTATTCCCTTTCACCGAAGTCTATAACAACTCGAACATAATTATAAAAACATGAGATAACTATAAAAACCGATTCTCCCCATGGGGGTTTTTGTTTTACAGACTACAACCTCAATAAGGCTGTAAATTTGAGCACTTCAAAAGGGAAGAATAAGAAACACTGATATTTCCTGATTGTGACAGATTTAACACGCAGCAACTTGCGTGACCGTGATTGTAGCGCATTTTATAACAAGTCACTTGTTTGTAAAAATTTAAGGCATCTACTTGGGAATTGCATATAGCTATGTTTTTTTTTTTTTTTTTTTACTGGACGGGGGGAACGGGGTGGTGAACATAAAGGATGCCAGCATTTAATACTTTTCCTTAGTGTGCGTAATTCGCCTGTGATTGTCACTCCCAAGTCAAGCTGTCTCCTCTATGAACGTTGTCTTCTACTAAAGGTCAAACTAGCACCCCAGGTGGGAAGTTTAGAAGGAGATTTTTAGTCACAGTAGACAAATTGCAGCCGTATTAGACCAAATGGTGCCTTCTTTGCAGACATGCTTCAATGTGTGGGAAAAAAGTCCTCCCTTTATAGAGAATACGAAACAAAGGTTTCTCGCGCGCACTTCTCTGCCTTTAGGTACACTCAAGGGAAATAAGACTTTGCCGCACACTGCATAGAAAGCAGTTCCCACTTTGGTCAAATACGAAAAAAAAAAAAAAATAAGGAAAATAACAACAACAACGTCAGCAACAGCAACAACAACAACAACAACATCAACAAAATAAATGTTTACACTATTTGTATTTCTGTACTAGCTTCTAATAATCCACATAGCTAAAAGCACTACCTACATAGGCAAAACTTGGTATTGCATAATTCTTAAAAGTCTGGACCCGCCCTCCCCAATAATGACTGGAAGATGGAGAAACAAATGATTAAAACAGAATCAAAAAAATGACAACCACCAAAAATACGGAAAACAAAAAATTGCTGGTTGATTATAAACTTTAGAACGGCAACTATACACAGCCTTGATACGCACTGTAAATGTGAGATAAAGTAGTAAATGAAGCTAAAAATCAACAATGTCACAATTTCATCCAGAGTACAAAATATTTCTTATCATAAAAATGTTACTTTTTCCCAAAAACGATAATAAATGCAGCAAAAACAAGTGTAGTGATGTTTTCTCTAAAGTCGAAGGCAAGGCACGTAATGTGGACTATATATTTTCGTGCAAATTAAGATTATTGGAAAGATTGATTATATAAATATGTCTGATTGGAGAGGCAATGGCATTGTGAATGCCGGGAGCAATCGACGATTTCTGGGACCGCGTCTGTTGGGGACTACCAAAGTGGGTTTGAAATAAGCACCTTGAGACCTCGCCTCAACCTGCAGGTTAGTGTTGAAATGAGTACAGCTTTTCACACATACACAATTTGTTTACATTAAATTACTCAGCGTTCCTCTTGTTTCTCATGATATCAAAGTGTAAACAGTAGCTTTACAAGCTAACGGCCGACTAAACATGCATACTAGATCTGTGAGTATTATGTCAAAATACGCCATTTAACACACGCTGTGTCTGAGTCTTTTCCCCCAAAGTTTAACTTTAAGTTTTCATTTTAATAAATTAAAAAAAAAAAAAAAAAAAAACTACCCGCATGTTTGGGTACGGCTCAAAATAAGTGCTGTCTTGTTCGTGTTCAGTTCTGTTCACGTAAACGTTCACTGTTAATCCCACTCTTCTCTTCCACCCTTCGTTTCCCTAGTTTCCCAAATCAAGGATGTGATTTTTATTTCATTTTTCTTTTTTTTTTTTTTATGTTTTAAAGTTCACCTAAAAACATTTACTCCCCATTCCTTTAGAGTCTTAGGGCAGACAGACTATGATAGCTTCCCTTCAGTAAAATCATTTAAATTGCACTTGCCTCTTATGAGATATTGTCTTATTTTTCTCAAAATCCTTTTCAAAGGAAATATATATAACAAAAAAAAAATGAAAATGAAAAAAGGGGTTGTATTTCTTAACTAGTATTATAGGTTTTTTCTTTCATTGAAGGAAAAAAAAAAAAAGGTTTTCAGAGTTCTCAACTCTGGAGAGTAAATTCCAACCTTTACCTTTAAAGGAAATTAGTACAGGACTGACAAGATTACAGATTCAAAAGATTTTCCACCGTAGGTACATTACATGTTGAGGGTAATATGAAAATAGAAACATTCAGTTCATTGAAAATTGTTCCTATGTTTACGTTACGAATACGATAAACCTCTGTTTGCTGAAAGTTTGTTCGAAATGCAGCCCGCTTTACAAACCATCCAGCCAGCCAGCCCTTGTGTGGCCAGCCCCCTCTAAAATCGTTTCGTAAACCAAGACTAGCAATCGTGACATAAGAACAAGAGAAACACTAACAAGAGAGACTAGCATGTCATGCATATACAGTAAGGCATCTAAAGTTTTGTATGGTAAAGATCACAGTATCTCAGTTCAGGGGCCTCCTTACACAATGACTGACTGGTTTGGAGAGGCTCATGTCAGAAGAGAACACTTTGACCCGACTCACTCTACTGCTCTAAGCCAATGTCCTTGAGAGGGTGGGACAAAGGTCCATGTCGATTGTATAAGTGCTGTTAGCTGGTTTGTCCGAGGACCTGTCTCTCCGGGGTCCAGTTCAATTGCTTGATTCTGCCTGGAGGAGGGGCTCACCAATGATGTTTATGCTGTAATTCTGGACATTTGTTGGCAGAATCGGAGTCCCGTTCGACACTTGGAATGGAATTAAGCTCGCCCAGGTACCAGGACTGCAGAAACACAGGGGAAAGATAGATTGTGGGAGATATTATAATCACATTATTACATACATATAAATAAATAATTGATAACACTTGATATTAAAGGAGAACTCCGGCGAACAATGAACCTTTGGTCTAATAAAACGTCGGTACCTAGTCAACCATTCTCTGAGATTTGTTTTCATGATAATCGAATGTAAAGAGTTTTATCTCTAAAACTGTTTAGCGTATAATGCTAGTAATGGGGGGATTGAGTAAGTAAAAAGAAATGGCTAGTTTATACCACTAACAAGGCTCAAAATAGCCCCACACTCACACAGTAATATAATGAGGCTCCATACATGCAAAACGAAGCATTGAGAACTTTGTAAGTGTACAGACCGTTTAATAAGAAGATACTTTATGAAGACAGTTCACTTCGCGTATACAGACAGGAGCCATCTTAAAAAATAGTCTCGATAAGTCGATCCCCGAACGCCATTCATACAGTTCAGAAGTTCGTTGAACTTCATAGAGTTCAGATCACTCAGCACGACGTTCGTGGTTCGACTTATTGAGACTATTTTTTAAGATGGCTCCTGTCTGTATACGCGAAGTGAACTGTCTTCATAAAATATCTTCTTATTAAACGGTCTGTACACGTATAAAGTTCTCAATGCTTCGTTTTGCATGTATGGAGCCTCATTATGTTACTGCGTTAGTGTGGGGCTATTTTGAGCCTTGTTAGTGGTATAAACTAGCGATTTGTTTTTACTTACTCAATGCCCCCATTACTAGCATTATATGCTAAACAGTTTTTAGAGATAAAACTCTTTACATTCGATTATCATGAAAACAAATTTCAGAGAATGGTTGACTAGGTACCGATGTTTTATTAGACCAGGTTCATTGTTCGCCGGAGTTCTCCTTTAAGGTATACTTAAAGCATTAGATATAACGAAAGAGTCATGAACACTACTTTTATAGCATTTATTATTCTTGGTTCGTGTTAAATTCTACAATTTAAAACATTTATCAAGTTGTATAAATGGTTCCAAAGGTATTGTGCGCAATATCAAGAGTACTACATCTATATATATATAGAGAGAGACACATTCAGTAATATATTACGTTTTAAAATATTGTATTGATACATTTTAGTTTTAATTCAAGTTAGGACATCTTTAAATTCTTTAAATCTAAATCAGTTAATGAAAGAGACATATCAGGTCTAGACTTTCTCCCACCCTCTTTTGAAAACTACCCCTTTGCTTCCCATTTAAATACACACACAGAGAGAGACACACACACACACACAATAATGGGTTCGGCATAGTGTCAGGGAACAGGATATCCCAGAGAAACAAAGCACCCTTAGTGCACATGCACGGGGGAAGTTTCCCCAAGAGCACGCATCCATCTCAGCCCCCTGCAGCTGACACCCACTTTTGGATCAATGGGGTTAAGTCAGCGGGACCGTCTACAGACCTTTCCTATCTGCATTCAGCACATGTTAACGGCACTACAACACGAGACTGTTAATTGCGAGCTGTGGTGCGAATCTCACATGCAAACGCACCAGGGTACACAAACAGCATGTTGTTCCCTTGGGGGAGGACAGGGGGGCTGAATGGTGCGTACATGTGTCGAATAATTAGGCAGGCCAGAAACCAGAGCCCTGGTATGCCCCCCCGCCTCCCTTCTCCCGCCTCCGTCTGAAATACCTGTCTCACCCAATCGCCGAACACAATCTTTTTGCTCACAGATTACAGGCCGTACTCCTGCTCTGTCAACAGTGCCCGGCGCACACAGCCACCTCTTTGTTTTTCCCCCCTCTCGTTTCTTTTTTTTTTTTTTGGGCCCCTAAAAAGAAAGGGGACATGCTCGAGGAGGGGTGGAGGGTGGTGGGCTGATTGAAGGAGAAGGAAAGACACTGTTGTGTGCAAAGACATTTCCATGGGTTCACTGCTTTGGATGCAGGTGCAAAGCTTTAGTGGGCTTTTCTTTTGGAGTTTGTTGTTTGTTTTCCGAGGGGGAGACGAGGGCTAAAGCCAGTGGCTGGTGAAGGACAGGGACCCAGCGGATGTGGAACAGTGACTTTATTCTTCCTGAGGTAGCCCGGGGTGATACGGCTGCCTGTCGCCCTGAATGCAGCTAATGATTCAGTCTGAGTTGTATACAAATCACCCGTAGCCAAAAGCCTGAAATCTTGTTTGAAAAAAAAAAAAAGAAAGAAAAAAAAAGTCGTATTTTATGATTCTAGTGTGCACTTTAAGGAGGAAGAGTCAGAAAGAGAGTCACAAAGTTGTGTGAATAGAAACTAAATCAAATGTGCACTAAACTCTCTTTAAAAAGGTTTTAATATATCATACTGTATGAAGAACTAACTGGGCTCTGTCTCTCCTCCCTCCTGCTGCCCCTTTTCATCTCTCTCTCTCTCTGCCGTTCTAGCCTGCTAAAAATCATCTAACAGGAAATGAGGGATTAAGTGTTTCAGAGATGTGGACTGGAGACTTTGGGGCTCACATCAGACTCAAGTCACTGTTTGGTGGATTTACGACTTGATAAATATTAAAGTACTTGAGCCTTGATTTTGACTTTGTTGCAATTACCTGTGAGTTGAGCTGATGACAAGAGACCTGTCATTTCCTATGAAAATCCAATTACATAACAATTGCAATTCCCATAATTCATTTTATTTTATTATTATTATTATTTATTTTTTTTTTGTTCTACCAGACTGAAAAAAAATCAAGCCGTAGATATTAAGTAGTGATATCATCTACAAATATAGACTGGACTAATGGACTAATCACAGGAATAATTTACATTTTAAAATATATTCAAACTGAAATTGTAAAAAAATTGTCACGGAATTACTGGATTAAATGTATTTTTGATCAAATAAATGCAGCCATGATGAGACCTCATTTAAAAAAAAAAAAAATCAAAAAAAGATTTAATTTGTTAACATTAGATAACTACTATTTACTAACAATGAACAATACTTCTACATTATTTAATAATCTTTGTTAAAAATAATTTCAACATGAAATATTTTTTTTTCTAATTAACCCTGCTAAAAAGACTAAAATACTTTCATTGCCATACGTTTCACTTATTTATTATTATTATTATTTTTATCAACCAGTATGGTATTTTTTTAAAAGATCAAGAGCATAGAAATCTTGCTGGTTACATTAGTTAAGAAGTTCATTAAGAATCTAGCTTTTATGCTATGTTGGAGACCAGGATTCAAATCAACATAATGTGTGCTGGTATCTTTAACAGGGAAATGGAGCACAAAGGAACTGCGATGTAGTTCTTCTCTTGTTTTCTGCTTCTTTCCCTGAACACGTACATCGATCAGCTCCAATAAAGGATTACTAATGGGACAGCAAAAACAGACTACCACCCATCAAGCTCGTAAATTGTCTCATGTACCACTGCCCTAAACTTTGCCTTTGCAGAGCATCAATAAACAGTATCTGATTGATTGCCATGGGGTGGGGTACTACCCCTTGTTTCTCAAGTTCAAGGTTCAGTGTGGTGTTTCCTACGGCCTGGTTTCCACAGTTACCAGACAAGTGCAGATGTGACGGCCCCCTTCACAGGGGAGATTGGTGTTATGTGGGATAAAAGGGAGATGAACACACAACTCAACTCCCTTTTCAGATTCTTGCTTTTCATGAGCCACTTACAGGTCTTTCATTCTAAACGTCCACCCTCTTGCAGGAGCAAGGACAGGCCTGTTTCGTTTTGGAATCAGACGCTAAATTAAACCATCTAATGCCATCTTAATTGATTGCTGACCCATTTCCTAAAGGATGGCAACAAACAAGCCTGGCTTGATTCAATTTCAATTTGGGTTGAGCAGTGGACTGGCATGCATCACACTGCGGCACTGCAGCTTTGCAAGTGCATGCAAGCAACAAATCACATTTCCATGTCAGTGACCTGAAGTCAACTCTTCAGCTGCATCAGCCTTCATCTGCAGCACATTGCCTTGCTTTCAAATCACGTTCTGTCAGACAGCAAGCTTATTTTTTGCAGTTGACAGAATCATGGTAATTAGTAAACGTTTAATGAATATTTTAAATGTAACACCCGGGCTTGGTTTTTAAATGCTCAATAATATTCAAGCCTGTGCCCCTATATTATGTCGATTATAAAATCTCTGTAATTAATTGTTGGAGAAACAATAAAGGGTGAGCCACTGCTTGAGAACCTATTTCCCCTCATACTCCGTGTGGTCTAGCCAGAAAACTAAAAGGGACTGAAATGAAAGCAGAGGCCTGTAGCACTGATGCCTACAGAAGGAAGTGAAAGTGTGTTCAGTGCGACTCCACTTTTCCACACATTTACTGCAGTGAGGAAGTGCTGAGTATGGCCTTTCCCACTGCAGGGAGCTGGAAAGACTAAATAAGTGGATGAGAGAGAGGATATAGCTCAAGGACATTTAGCACACACTTAGCCCAGCTTACACAGGGATTCGGTCAAACATGCCAGCAGTGACTGCTTTAAGAATATATAGAAGCACAGCTTTACCTTAAAATGCAATGCCATATGACGTTTATGTACATATAAACAATTTGTACATATATAGAATTGAACTACAATGACAAAAAATAAGATAGAACTTTTAATATAAGTATTGAAATTTACAACATTTGAAATTTTGATAAGATGCATTATATTGTTTTATCATCTTTGACATGTTTCTAAACATTCACTGGAGTAAATATGTGGCAAATTTAATTGGACATGATTTAGAAAGACACACCTGTCATGTACGCAAGTTCTAAGAGCTGAAAATGCATATCAAATGAACTGCCTGCAGAGCTCAGAAACGAATCTGAGGAAGGCTACAAAAATAAAAATCTGTTGCATTGAAGGGTCCCAAGAGCTCAGGATGGAAGACGTTTGGAAAAGCCAGGAGTCTTCTAAGAACTGGCCTACTGGCCAAACTGAGCCATCGGGGAGAAATGTTTTTGTGAGAGAGGTGACCATGAACCTTAAGGTCACACTGTCAGTCTCCACACATTATCTCTGGAGCTCAACCAGAGCGTGCAGATGGACAAACAGCACTGCAACACTGAGCTTTATGGCAGAGTGGCCAGAAGCCTCTCTTGCACTGCATGACATATGAAAGTCTGCATAAAATGAGCAAAAAAGCTCCTAAAGGACTCTCAGACTGTGAGCAACAAAATTCTCTGTCCTAATGAACTGAATGGTCTGTAAAAATCCAGGCACCACTCATCCCCTGTGCAATACCATCCCAATGGTAAGGTGGTGGTGGTGGTAGCATCATGCTGTCGAGGGTGTTTCCATCGACATGGACTTGGGAAATGGTCAGGGTAGACAGAAAAATGAAAGTAACAAAATACAGGGATGTGCTTAAAGGCGGGCATACACTGTGCGATGTCTGTGCGATTTCAGCAAGGTACCTACTCACACTCAACGAGTAAATCGCATGCGATGAAAAGCCAAAGTTCAGGATTTATGTGCTCACACTGTACGGTCCGATCGTCGAGCTGCGACTTCACTGCTCACACTATGCGTGTAATATCTGCGATAACCCCCTGGATTGCGCCTATTTACGTGTATGTATCCAGGGATATTGTCAAAACAAGCATCTGCTATCAGTATCAAGATGATTTAGCATTTTCAGTTTATGCATTTAATTAGTATTAGTATTATTGTAGGCTTATTATCATTATTAGGGGAGGCCTATAGGCTAATTTTATTATTAAATTGATCCGCTATCATAATTAATTTGCCACGCAATATTTTCACAGCACATAACCAACGTGCTGTGAGGATAATAAAATATTACATAATCTTACTCCTCATTAAAAATGGTCTAAAACATTTAGGTCGATTACAATGAATGATAGGCATATAAAATAACTATTAACAGTCTATAATATGTCCGAACATTGCCATAGTTAATCATCAATAAAAAATTAAAAACAGGTTTATTTCAAAAACATTGTTTGACAAATTAATAAAAGAGGTGTTACATCGCAGGTGGCTTGGAAGACGGTGGGTAACATTATCCATTTTGCAACACGAACTGGAGGTAAGCAACAGTAATTTGTCGCTAGTTTGAACTACAGAACTTAAAGATCTCCCTCTTTTCGTTTTTATTTTAATTAAATTTTTCCTGCAGATGAAATGGTTAAACTTCTGTTTTCGCGCAGGTGCAGTGAGGAAAAAAAAACACTTTTAGGGCAGTTTAGGGCACTTTAGGGAGTTTAGGGCAATCGGTTCGTAGCGTTGCTTCAACTGTGCGATATAGTCACGAGGAGCGACCAAAATTTCTGACATGCAGGTTAATCGCCTCTCGTTTCTCCCTGTACACTGCACGGACACTGCACGACAAACGACGCACGACAAAGCTGAAAATCGGTCCGACACGAAAAAGAGTCGCACGAGTCAGAATTCGGCTCAAAATCGGATGAAAATCACACAGTGTATGCCCGCTTTAATCACACAGTGTACGCCCGCCTTAAGGAAAACCTGGTCAAGAGCACTCAGGACATCAGACTGTGTCAAAAGTTCACTTAGGGTGGCTTAGGGTGGACTCTGTGAATGTCATTGAGTGGCCCAAACCCAATCAAACATCTCTGGAGAGACCTGGAAATGGCTGTCCATTGACAGTGCCCAGCCAACCTGACAAAGCTTGAGAGAATCTGCGGAGAAGAATGGCAGAAAATCCACAAATCCAGGAGTGCAAAGCATATCTAAAAAGCCTTGAGGCTAGGACTGCAGCTGATGTTTCAGCTAAGGGTCTGAATATTTATGTAATGTGATGTTTATTTTATTTTGAATAAAGTTGCAAAATTAAATTATAATTCTGTTTTTCATCATGGGGTATGGAATGTAGATTCATGTGAACAAAAAGATATTTTAAATTACTTTGCATAGGGCTGCAGTTTAACAAAATGTGTAAAAATGTTAGGTTCTGCATTTTTTAAAACCATATTATAATTGTTGATGTTGCATAAATTGTGTTGGTTTTGTTACTATGGAAAAAATGCATTTCTGCACTTGTGAGAGAGAGAGAGAGAGAGAGAGAGAGAGAGAGAGAGAGAGAGAGAGAGAGAGAGAGAGAGAGAGAGAGAGAGAGAGAGAGAGAGAGAGAGAGAGAGAAGCTTTGCTTGATGCATAATAGCATTACCAAAAAGCATCTGGAGAGAAGATACAAGAATTGTAAATCTTGATTTCACTGTCAGATATTTATGAAAATATTTTTTCAGAGAACAGTGTAAAGCTTTAATGCAGAGGGGAGGGTGAGGGGCTTAAAAAGAGCAAACAGTCTTGACTGCCTCAGCTCTGAAACTCCAAGCTTAGCGATGACCTTTGTAAATATGCAGCTCTCAGTGAGCCTCAGACATATTCTGCTGCACTAGTGCAGGAGTTCTTCTCTTTCCCAGCAGTAATCATCTTCCTAACTTCCATTCGTTCGTTCAGGGAGATAAGGATGTTAACCATTAATTGCTCTGATTTTCTTTACGGAAAAATCATCAGAGGTCATTTTGTGCTGAGACTCCTATAGTCTCATTCCAGAGGTCTAACTGACCGTGAATATCAAGGGAGGCTGACCAAGTTTGACTTGTCATGTATATTGAAACAAAGTCTTAGAACAACATTCATGGGGAAATCATAAACGCTGTTGTCTCCAAGATGGGCAATCTGGTAACGATAGATCAGTATGATTGTCTAAAATCTTACCAATCTTTTTTTATCAAATATGTTGCATTGATTTTAAGTGAATGAATCAAGAGATTCAACATCTTGGAGATGGTTCTAGAGTGGTATTCTAACATTAAAAAAAAAAAATTGCTGGATGCCAGTATATCAAAACCTCTAAGAAGTTGCATCTCTAATTTCATCCAAATGTAGCACCTACAACCAACAAATCCACCACTTTCAACGTTAAAGGGATAGTTCACCCAAAAATGAAAATTAGCCCATGATTTACTCACCCTCAAGTCATCCTTTGCATTAGCATATGACATTCTTCTTTCAGACGAATACAATCAAGAGTTATATTAAAAAAACTTCTAAGCTTTATAATGGCAGTAAATGGCTGTTTCTGTTTTGAAGTCCATAAAAGTGCATCCATCCATTTTAAAAGTTCTCCACACAGCTCCAGGGGGTTAATAAAGGCCTTCTGAAGTGAAGCGATGAGTTTGTGTAAGAAAAATATTCATATTTAACAAGTTACAAAGTAAAATTCCCATACTCCCCGGCCAAATAGCCATACTCAGTCTACTTATGACTAATGCGCAACTTGTGACATCGGAAGTTGCGCAGTGGCCATGGCGTAGCGTAAATATCAGCAGTACACTTAGACTTAAGTCGAATCTGTATGTGCTTTTGACCAGAAGCTAGTTATTTTACTTTATACAGTTTTAAATATAGATACTTTTCTTACACAAGCGCATCGCTTTGCTTCAAGAAGGCCTTTATTAACTCCCTGGAGCTGTGTGGAGGACTTTTATGATGGATATATGCACTGCCATCATTAAGCTTGGAAGAGCCAGGACAATTTTTAATATAACTCCGATTGTATTCGGCAGAAAGAGGAATGTCATGTACACTTAGGATGACTTAGTTGAGGGTTTGTAAATCATAGGCACATTTTTGTGTGAACTATTCCTTTAAATTTTCTCAAGGTAATGCACTGTAATGAGTGAAGATTGTATGAATTTGGCTGCAGATTGCTCATCCAGATGTGCACAGAAACAGTCTTGCGACAGCCTGAAAAAGGTTTGTGAAGGTCCACTTATTACACTTTGAGAAACCAAAGTTTATTGAACATCAAAGGAGATGGACCTAAAACATTTGGAAATATAGTTAGAAGTCAAAATGCAAATTAAAACATGAAATGGTCTATCATGTTGTTTGACTATCTTTATCTTTCATGATATAGTTAGCCATTACAAGAATGAGTGATGCATTCATGGCCTTACAGACGAATACATGAACACAATTCATCACAAATACACTTTTGCGATGAGTGCAAAAACACAGAAAAGGGGGGCTTGATCTGGACTGGGTTGGAGGGGGTGTTGTACTATTGCAGATATAAGTTGTACATAGTAATATTTAATGGAGAGGTGGGTTAAAAATAAAGGAAACGTTTACCTTTGCCAAGAAATCCCCAAAGCCTCCTCTGAGCCATATGACCTGATGTTTTGATTCACGGGCCAGTCACAAATCCTCAGCTGTCAATCAAACACCTCTCAGTCAGACAACTGGGCTAGCACAACGGCACTAACACACATTTAGCATGCAACAAGACCTGGAGCAAGACCTAAGCTTATCTCAACACATATTCTTACATTTATCTGATGTTAATCTTACATTACTAGAATAGGAAAACACCCTCACTAATGGTCATATTAGGTCTTAAATCTTCTGTTCTAGGCCTAAAATTATGCCTAATTTAAATTACAATTCAAATTGCCATCAAAAATGTACACAAACAAAAGGCAATTGTCACATGTGGCATGCAATACCATTAGGGTTCTAATAACCGTCCTGAAAGCAAAAGAAGAGGTTAGTATACAAAAATGGGAGCTGGGTTACATGGAGGTTATTCATCTATCCCAGAATGCACTCGAATGGGAGGAAGCACATGCATTCCAAATGGTGCATGCAGTTACGGTCACTTCACTGCTGTTAGATATTGTAAAAGCAGCCTGTTTTCACCGAAGCATAACATGAAACATGCTATGTGAGAGACTAATCTTGTCCTTGGTCACAATTTACAAAGCACCAATTTTTTTTATTTTTTTTTTAAATGTCAGTATACATGAGAGGGAAAAATAAACAACTGGTCACATTTACACACAAACATGCAACAAATTGTATGCATGAAAGTGTGAGAAGCCATCAACAAACAACAACATAAGAGAAAATCATGACACTTTTGCTAATGAAAGACACACAAGTGCTATATGAGCCTTCATCAGGTATATTCGCTCTCTGAATATTCAATGCTACTCTGTCAATAGTTCCCGCTATAACTGGAAAGGACCCCAAATCAAATCCATTTCCATGACAATAAATCTAGGAGGGTGAATAATTGATTTTCTATATTTACTTCAAAGATGCTTTAGTGCTCACCCCGGAGACTTTTGGGTGGCTCAAACACACATTTCCCAGAGTTAAAGCCACATAAATTAGGTGAGAAGTGCTAACATGGAACAGGAACTTCACCAGAAGCATGGAGGTCCTGTCACGGGTGCTGTGGATATATATTAAATTATATATATTCAGAAAGGAAAACAAAATTATAATGTTGTGTAAATACACTTTTAACTACTTGAACTTAATTAAATTCATATTATACACTGCTGCTCAAAAGTTTGGGGACAGTGAGATTTTTTTTAAGGTTTATGAAAAATTCTTTAAGCATTAATTTGATCAAGTAACGTCAATGTTGAAAATAGTTGTGCTGTTAAATAGCTTTTGTGGAAAAAATGGAAACTAGTTTTGTAGAGTCTTTTTTTACAATGTAGAGTAACAATGTAGAGGTCTGTCACTTTTGATAATTTAATGCATCCTTGCCGAATAAAAGTTAACTTATTCAAATTGTTATATATATATATATATATATATATATATATATATATATATATATATACGTATATATATATATATATATATATAACAATTTTAATAAGTTAACTTTTATTCGGCAAGGATGCATTAAATTATCAAAAGTATATATATATATATATATATATATATATATATATATAAATCGGACACTTACATTTTGAGGGAAAAATAGAAGTGCCATTAAGCTGAACATTCAGAGTGACTAATAGTGAAATATGTGAGGTATTTTCACATTGCTATGTGCGGATATCCACAGAGAGAGAGAGAGAGTGTGTGTGTGTGTGTTCTCGAGTGACCTGTAGCCAGAAAACAATGGCACTGGGGCAAAGTCTGAGGTCAGCTATCAGACTGTTTTGGTAGTGCACATTCATTCATCCTGTTTTGGTCGACCCCACACATTGAAAAAACACACACTCATACAATATGCTGATGAGGGGTTGCACTGCATGTATCTTTAGTGTCTAATATCTCTGGAATTAAGAGAGAGGATTTCAGGTGTTCAGATTTGGTTAATTAAACAGACCAAAAACACAAACCACACAATACACTAGAATATATCAAAAAAAAAAAAATAATAATAATAATAATACTCTAGTTGTTAAAAAAGGTTTCTTAAAATGTCGGCACTTAGGTCTCTAGCTCCAAAAAAAAAAAAAAAAAAAAAAAAGGAAGAAGAAAAAAAAAAGAATAAAATAAAATATAAAAATAAATAGATTAAAATTCTCCCTACCTTGAATTTTAATCAAAGCACAAGTGCTATTTTAGTGCTGAACAAAACGGTCTTATGTACAATGAAACAATTAAAGTGCCACAATGAGGTATAAAATGCCACAGTATATTGGCTTCAAAAACATAATAGCAAGACACAAGCTGTAGGCTTGAGGTCGACAGTTATCTGATCACGGGTGCCATCTGTCACTGGCACCAGTGGATCACAGAGTTACGCTACAGCAGCGCTAGCACCTTCACAGCTGTGAGTGGTGGTTGCTTTAACATGTTTGCATTAGATAAAGCCAAATAAGATTGTGATCACTGGTCGAGAGAGAGAACGGAGGGAGAACAGAAATGCTGAAAGAGAAAGGGAAGAACCCCTGGGGAAGGCGGCTAATGAAATCTTCTCATCACTGGTGTTTTCACAAACAAATTACTCAGGGGTATCAGTCTAGAGCAGGTGCTGTTGGATTGTGTGCACGAATGCTCATCTGTCATTCTCCCCTGTGTGTTTTGAGGGGTTTGAGTAAGTTGTGAATGAGCTTGATTTAACAACAGGGCCATTGTGATACTTTAAGGCAGGTGGGGAAATCTCTGGCCCTCAAGATCCACTCGGATGGATAGATCTCGAGGGCCAGAATTGCCCACCCCTGCTATAAGGAAATCCGTCAATAACTGGTATTATCTATTGTCTGTCTAATGCATTATATATAGAAATAAGCATACAGTATATAGCTCTACAAATGTAATACCAACAAACCATTAGACAAAACATTAAACTTCAACGTTTATACTTTCAATATAGTATATTCATGGTTGCTAAGTTGGGAGAAAAAGCATTTCAGAAAAATTAAATATTTAAAAAGAAAAGGCTCTGATTTTTTTAAGCTACCTCTTATGCTCGCCAAGGCTGCATTTATTTGGTCAAAAATAGTCAAAACTATAGTAATATATTTAAAAATGTAATTTAATCGCTATACTGCAACATTGCTGAATAAAAATATGAATTCCTGTAAAAATCTTTTTTACCGTCCCTAATGGTTTTTACACGAAACATTTGACAAAAAAAAGTTTACAGTAATAATTGTATTTAAAGATTAACTTTAAGTGAGCATCAGAACATGTCAAAGGTAGTCTAAATGTAAAGAACAATAAAATCTCTAAAATCAGTCAATAATGGATTGTGAATACCCAACCCTTGATCAGTAAATGGACACAGTTATCGTCCAAAGCAGATATTCTCACTAACTAACTCAATTATTGTGTTCATTTAATTTTTAGATGCATATCATGAGCATTATGACTATCGGCAGGAGTGCTTTCGAGATAACACTGTGAAACACCAATGCAGATGACCAGTAAAGTTTTCTTTTACTGATCCAATAAACACACGTCCACGGCTCTATGCGACACTGTCCGTACTCCAGATGAATCGTCTGTCCATTACTCTAATGGTTGCCATCCCAAAGCTGCCACTATCATACAATGTATGCGTGCTGCGACAACGGACGACAAGCATATTATCTGAAGGACCCGGGGCCACAAATCACAAGCAGCTACGTCTCAACATCTTACATAGGGGTTATAAGCATACAGATGGTTCTTGTAAATGAAATAAGCTCAAACAGTTGCTATGGGACCAATAGGAGGAGTGATTATGTATGTATGGACACACCCGCTTGATTTACTGACTCCAGTAAACGGAGACTAAAGACACGGCATGACTGCTTATGTAATGGAGTCATTATAGCGAGGGTGTGTTTGAGCCTATACAGAGAGCCTCTCGATGCTAGGCCCTACGAGAGGGATCGAAAGAGAGAAAAAGAAAGAAACACAAAATGAGGTAAAGAGAGAGGGGGAAAAAGCTTAGATTTGAGTGAACAGTGAAAGAATGAGAGGAGGCATTAAGGAACAGAGAGAGAAAGAAAGCGTCCCGCTGAGCGTCTGGAGCTTTCTCAGTTTCCAGACGGCCCGGCTGAGCTGAAGGCAGCACCCTGCCCCACAGCATGCTGGGAAAGGAGCGCTAAGGGTCTGTAAGGTGACGCCACGGCGACGGCTGTAATCCATACGCCCCACGCGTCACACCGCATGCTCGTACAAAAGCTCAGCAGGGGAACACAGGTGTCAATACATCTCATAATATCCTATGATAAATCACTCAGAATAAAGGCTGCTGTGTACGGAAGACATTATTTACCCAGCAAAAGCGCCAGCTCAATGGCCGCAGGTTAACTCGGGTCAGGACTGGCTATGCAATGCTCACTTCTGAAGACAAACAAAAGCTCCGGCTCATATAAACATGATAGATGGTTGATATATTATCCTGTCTACATCTGATCCCTCTGCCTGTTAAGCGAACTACAGCTAAAACAAAAGGCATTAAGCCGTATGCGACACTACAGCAGCTGCGGTGCCTGCATGCGATACCTGCTAAAAGATAATATAATCACTCATTCACCCAGCTCACACACTGAATCGCTGTTATCAATATCAGTCCTTTCATTATATCCAGTTACACCATCTATCCGTCCGTTCGACTTCTGATTCTTTATACAATAATTATTACCATGTTTTTTTTAAATAAGGCCTGCAGCACTGTCCCTGTTGGTGAGCTGTACATTTCTTGGCCCCGTCCAAGTATGCAAAACCAGAGAGCAATAAAAGCGAGGCTTGCCATTACTGTAACTCAGGAGCAGGGCAAGAGAAAACCACTAATTATGATGTCGCCGCGTGCAGATGAATTCAATTAGAGGAGGGTGGAAAATACTGGCCTCGGACCAGCCCTTTCATGCTGCAGAGGGCCATCGCACACACGCACAAGACTATTACTCTTTATACAATACTGAGTGTTTTGCCAAAAACGATCATTTCACTAAATAACTTTCTAAGTACTGAGGCCTGACGTAAACCAATATCGATCATGTTAAGTACTGCATTTAGTCATACATCATTTTGTCCATCTGAAGACAATGCTAACTTTTGTTGCACAGTAGTTTTAACACTAAGACAAGATGTGGGATGTGATAGCAATAAAAAAAAAAAAAAAATCAAGTCCAACAAACATCCCCTGCTGTGTATAAATGCATCAATTACTTTTTAACATGAACATAAACCAAATGATAGAAAAACGGAATTGGACAGTCTGAAACTACTTGATTTCAATAAGTATAAACATTAATGTTTGTCTAAATTCTACAGTGGCCCCAACAAGTATTTTGACACTTAAAGAACACTTAACTTAGAGTCTTATATTTTAAAGAAATAGTGAACGTTTAAACAGCAGAATGTTTAAACGGTTTAAAAAAGTGAAGTGAGTTTGAACACTTGCTGGTTGTCAAATGTTAATCGGATATGTCCGTAGCTAATGTGAGGATATACACCTGTGGTCACTTTGCTAGGACACCTAAGTGTAATCACACTGAAATCAGTGTTAACTGTATTTTTTTTTTTTTTTTTTTAAAGTAGTTCTGAGAATTGGTTTGATGTTTTGCAAAGATATGTATACACAAATATGGCTTACTTGTCCACCTAACTTTTGGGGGCCACTGTATTTATTTGCAGGGTACTTAACAGAAAATTCATTGGTTTAGTCTTAGCTTATTTATAAAAATGTGGACTCTGTATGTATGAATTTATGGAAACCAACAGATTCTTCATAAAAGTGACATTCACCCACACTTGCAAAAACCATAAACCTCTAAACGTGACCGTGGTTATAGAGCAAGTGGAAAGATGTGCTCAATAACTGTGAGCAACAGAGGAGAACTTGCCAGGAGTGTCAATGGCATTAAATGCTTTATAAATATAATTATCCTGCACAGTGTCTTACTCAAATCAAACTACACAGTATATGTAATCAAACCAATAGGTGCATTCAATTAACAAATGTTGACAAACAAATGTCAAAAGTTTCCTCCTCATTTTGTCTCAACAGCCCCCTATCTGCACAACAGTGCCTACAATTCATGACCAGATTATTTGATGTGCTACCTGTCTGACACCTGTTGGGAATATAGAACAGCTGGATGGGGATTTGAGAGAGAACAGGGGGAAAAAAGAGAATGGTAAAAAGGGTGGGTCATATCTCACCTGTTGCTGGTGAAGAAAGGCTGGGTCTCTGGAGCTCAGTCCCACAAAACGGTTGGCAGTGGGGGTGCCTGGAGCCGAATAACCTAAATATACATTCAAGTATATTAATACAGCTGGTGTAGACACAAGTAATACACTACACTGTTCTAAAGTTTGGGCTCAGTAAAGTTTTTTTTTTATTAATTAATAATTGTTTTCATCAAGGACACACATTTAGTTTATTAAAAGGGACAGTAAAGACATGTATGATTTTAAAGATTTCTATTTCAAACAAATGCTGTACTTTTGAACTTTCTATTCATCAAAGAATTCTGAGAAAAAAGTATAACCATATCCACAAAAATAACAACTGTTTTCAACTGTGATAATAAGAAATGTTGTAACAACTTGTTTCTGAATTATCATGTAACACTAAAGACTGGCATAAATGCTGCTGAAAATACAGCTTTACCATCACAAAAATCAACTATTCAAATATATTACAATAGAAGACAGATTTTTGCAATAAAATGTACTATAGTGTTTTTTTTTTTTTTTAAACAAATTACCTTCTGATGATGTGGTGATTGGCTTGGTGTCAGCCATCGAGAGAGAAACTGGTCTGACCGTGCCGTGGTGGGGCGAGGGGGCCAGTACTGGCGTGAAGTGACCGGGCACTTTCCCCAGTACCTGACCACTGCTGTTCGGCTGTGACATACAGAGAAAAAAAGGTAGTCTGTTAGCATATCAGGCCACATGGCTACATGTTGTTGTTTTTTTTAATGATGCTAATGATCATGGTCATTTGTTTTTGTTGTCTGTGATTATGGGCAGATTAACACATCTTTTGATCTTCTCCCATCTTCTTCTGGCATTGGCGCTAGACAGCTGAGTGTGCACTTTTCATGACTTAGTTGATACACAAACCAGAAAAAGAGGGGGTTGAGGGAACACAGGATTCAGACGCAGACACGGAGCGAGCGTCTACCTCCTTATACTCGGGACTGCAGGAGACAGACTCGACTGAATTCACATAGCGGGGCCCTAAGTTCAAAACTCAAACAGGCCTTTTATGAAAGAGAATGGTGTCCATGGGGTTCCCCAATGTGAATAGAATGTTTAATTAGGGTGTAATATAATCTGCGTTAAAGCAAGCATAAAAACATCCTGGCTCCCATCCACCCGATTATATGCCCCATGTTATTTGCAGAGCGATCTCCCCTCACCAAGCTGCAGACCCCGGCAACGGCAAATATTTACGACCTTTATCGTTCCCTGTGGTTTCTCCCAAGTAACAGTTCCAGCGTGCTATGCCTCGTCCAGTCTAAGAGCCCTTTGTTTACTGTTTGAGCGGCGGCGGGGATATAAAACTCTGTCATATCGAGACCTCGCTTCAATCACACAGAAAAAGAAGAAATCCCTCAGACAATCAGGGCTGTGTTTTCCAACGTATCAAATCACAGCAGATATTTCTTACACTAGTTTTGCTTTTTTAAATTCTTAATACATTGTTTTAAACAAAACTCATTCCACCCCCCCAATCAGGTTAAAAAAAATGAGGGAGATTGTGTGGTTATACCACTGAATTACCCACTCTAACTTTACCTCTTTTTTTGGTGTTGTTATTGACTTTCCACACTTCAAATATCAATATCTTCAAGCAAAAGGGAACTGTAAGTGTTAACCAAACGCAAAATAATCCAAAATAAAGTTTAAATTTCCCATTATCAAAATGTTTAGAGAGGCTTAGCCTTTAAAAAAAAATTGTGGTACTAATTAAGATGAGTGGGACAGTCTGAGCTGCTTGGCAGAGATGCAGAAAGTTCAATTCAACAAGAGCCCCATCCATCACCTGCTAAGGAGGAGGAGTCAAAACATTCAAGTCCTTCAATTAACAGGAATGAGGTATTTTTTTTCATATAACAATGAAGACATAATGGCCTATATTAAAGTATACGATAAATCGTAATTCAAACTTTAGGGAAGTAGTTTTCATTGAGTTGGAGACACATTGAGTGCATGTGTGTTTGTGCTAACGCGCAGTGGCTGCCATGGTTGGAGTGTTTATTGACTTGCTTTTGTTGTTGCGTTTTTTCCTCTCTCTCTTTTCATTCCCTTTCGCTTCATTTACGCCGCTGCTGGTAAACAGTCGCCACAGCGATGGAGAGGCCGTCGTTTGGCTTCGCGCTCGGCTCTGAGCTGATTTAGACAAGGCGCCGACAGAGAAAACCACTAATGATTTTGTGTTCGTTAGCTAAACTGGGTCAATTACCGTGCTGAAACAATGTGGCCTGTTAATCAAACTTGAGTCCGATGCACTGGGAACAACCGGAGACACCAAGACAGACAGGCAACGAGAGGTAGAGGCAGAAAAAGAAGAAAACTGCGCTAAAGTACCTTTGTGTTTACAGCATGTGCTCTTACAATGAGGGTCTCATTAGTTTTAGGGGGTAGAGCGCCTTTAGCTCACGGTATGGTTAACATATGTGACAACATGATGATTATGATTGGAGAATTTACGGTACACGTGATGCATGTTATTTCAAGTTTTTTTTTTTTTTAAATGTGAATCTGTTCTTGTGTGTCTCAGGAAAGGGAATATTTCAACTGAGACGTTAAACCAACACCCTATTTTTACAGCTGGCATCTATTATGTATTGTGGACAATGCACACACAGTCGTGAGATTTAAAGGCTCTGTTCTAGTACAGATGAACTGTACTAATTATGTATGATTGCATTAGGGTCTGGGTTAATGCGCGTGTACGTTAGTCTTTGTGCGTGTACGTGAGTACTCCATACATACCTGGCTGCTCTGTGGGCTGGACGGGTCGTAAGACTGCATGTAGTTCTTGAGGGAGTCGGGTGGGTTGAGGTGCGGTGGGTAGCGGATGGCGCCATGAGAGATGTAGGGCGCTGAGGGGTGGATGCCAGGGCCGGAAAACTGCAGCGGAGAATGCGGAGGTGGACTCCTAGTGGAAATTACTGCACATGCAGAGAAAACAACTACTTTACTAATAGATTTTAATTTGACTACATGTAAATTCAATGAAAGTTTTGCTCATGGGTAATTATCAAGAAGCCATACCACACATTTACATAAAACCCGTTCAAGTCATGTCGGAAATGAATATATTTAAGGGCTGAGAGCATGAACATCACCCATAAAGTCATGTCTACCAGTGAGAAATTTGGAATTTTGTTTTTAAGCCCCGAAAGTCGTGTCATTTAAAGAATTATGGTGGAAACAAAATTGTATTTCTCATAAACAGTTACAGTGGTACTGATGATAATCAAATACTATTGTCTCAAATATATAAAATTAATATAAATATCACGTTAACACATAACATGCAAAATCTTGTAAATCATGCTGGATATACTGTACACTCCAACATAGTAGGTGGTGATATTTCACCGTAACCTGGTTGTTGTGATAAAAAATTTTTAAAAAAAAGAAGATGAATCAGTGTGTAGCTACTACTGCCGCACAAAATCATATCATAGATGACAGATGTACATAAAGACAGTGAAACATTTGCGCCTGAAAAAGTTAGCTCGCCAGTGTGGGAATTTTGTGGATTCCTTTAAACGACGGCCTGTTAGAGAGCTCAGTCTAAAGGAAGTGCAGATCATCAGTTAGATATGGCTCATTGTATATGTTACAATTTCTCTCTGCCTTGCATTTTGAGTTTGATTCATGCTTGTATTTTACTAGGCCTAACATTATTTTAGGAGAAATTGAAACAGAAAGACAATGAAATTGCCCATTTAAGATTACAATAAAAATACAACAATCGAACTCATACAGTAAGTAGAAAACTTTGAGGAGAGCTTTAATAGCGTTCAAAATGTTCAGTGGTTGTAAGAAGGTTTGCTTGAATCAGGGAAGGATTGTGAGAAGTATTTTTTAGAAAAGTAATACCACTATGGCCAACGGTGGTCAGTCCTGGGTGGTGGTGCTGGGGGAAGGTGCTGAGTCGAGGTGAAGAGTCCTGTGGAGATGTGGGACTGAATAATGTCTTCTCTGGCTTCTTCATGCTGGGAGAGGACATGTCTGCTGAAGAAAAAAAGAAAAAAAAATAGACAGGGGATGTCAGATATTAACAATGTAAGAAAGTATTAACAATGTAAGAAATCAAAATCTGGGATGAGCAGAAAAAAAAAAAAAAAACTTAAAGAAACGAAAAGTCTTAATTGACTAGGCGACTAAATCTTTACCAAAATTACTGAACTGAGCATTCAAAAAAAGTCAACAACATAAGAACACACTCTTTTGACATTTTCACGTTTTCTTATGCTGTTTCTCTTTCACGTCCCCTCTCAGTAGTGCGATGCAGTGTATCATCTATCTTGTTGGATTGTTTAAGAAAAAAGATTAACTTCATATCTAATTCCAAGAGACAAAAAAACAAAAGTCTCTTCATCAGCAGACATGGAGGAGACATAGTGCTTGGCCTGTATGTCTATGGCGCTCCTCCCTGACAATCATAGATGAGATGAGAAAACGGAAAAGAAAGGGAGGCAGACGCAATAAAAAATGAAATTAGGAAAAGTGAGGGAGGTGGAAGAAAAGAGAACAGCTAGCTAATGACATATCTGCAAACACTTCTCATGATGTGTATTCTGTCTTGAGATTCTGTTTGGATATGCACAGTTGCTTTAGATGAATAAATCAATCACGACTACGTCTCTATATTTAACTTCATAATGCTCTCTCTCTCTCTCTCTCTCTCTCTCTCTCTCTCTCTCTCTCGAAGGCAGGAAAAAGGTAAATGATCTTGACTCAAATAACACAAAGGCATTGGAATGTAGGGGGATTCCATGTGTCTGTGTGTCCTATTCAGGGTCCCAAATTTCCTAAATGACTGTTTACCGCTACTGCCAATGACAAGACAATTGAGAACATTGTGCTGCCAAAGATTTCCTAACCAAACAATGTAATTTTGCAGTATTTTTTTTTATCTATTTAATTGCATTTTAAAATATTCAAATATATACAGTATAAAAAAAGACACATTAGGGTTGTGAATTGTTGAACAAGGCACTCATAAATCATTTTTATAAACCGATATGATCAAAAAGAAAGTTTACACAGAAAAACCTAACATGACTCCACAACTATACTGTAAATAGGTATTGCAATAGTTTTATAGACAGAATCTATAGATAAACCTTTCAGTAATAGTCTAGCTTTATATGCTATGGTTTTGAAACATGAATTATTTTTTCTTAAACACATTTTTGACTGCATTTTCCTGTTTCAACATGTCTGTATTTAGCATATGGCTTTCGAATAATATTTGGTCATCACACCTGTTGCAACAGAACATTGAAAAAAGAGGAAGAAAAAAAAGCTGTTAGAAGGCAGGATTGTTCTCCCTCAGGAAAATCTATGCGTGTGTTTAAGGAAAGAGGGAAGGAAGGAAGAAGAGAATGAAGGTGGGTGGGATATAGAGAGTAAGAAGGTGACAGGAGGAGAATTTGCTCTCCCAAAAGCCTTAAAAAAGCACAGAAAAAAAAGCATGTTTTGTATGTATGCATTTACCAGGGAATGACTACACACACATCTGAAGAAGACAAATTGATATATTCATTTTTTTCAAGCATACCAGAGAAAAAGAAATGGAGAGAGGGAGAGACTTGCAACTTTATCGAGGCAGTGGCCATACAATGACATTGTCTTTTCACAAAGTTGATTTGATATGAAATTATGAAGGTATTTTACTGGCGAGAGTGTGTGTGTGTTTCTGTGCACATGAGGAGTAGGCTTTGGCTGAGACAGCTTCCTTTTGTCAAGACCTCATATGGCTTTAATATTCATGCTTCGCTCCTTCTGATATGGCTTTTACAAAACAAACCATTTTCTCATGAGCTCTATTCTACCCCATCCCCCTCTTCACTCCTCCCTCCATCTTTCACAACAGCACATCAGCAAAAGTCCGCGTCGGGGGGGTAGTAATAATAAATCGACCAGAAAATCGACCAAATTAAGATCATTTTTTAGTCATTATTTAGACACAGACTTGAGGCTCTAATTTTGTATCATATTATTTGTTTCCAAAATAACCAAACTAAATTAACCTATTAAATTGACAGCCCTAACACAAGAAACAAAAACGAGTGCATGACAAGAAAATAAGACATAACATTTATGTACAGTGGAATGTGTCCAGCTGAATGAGTATGGAAAGTAATTACAATTAAAGACTTTTTTTGTTGTTGTTGTTGAAATAGCTGAGTGTTGTATTTTTTAGTGCTCAAATTCTCCCTTTCCCTCTTATACTGGCCACCTGTTGGTCGTCAAGGGACAAGCTCAAACAGACGCTGTCACACCTGCCTGTTTCTCTCTCTCTTAACACACACACTGTACAAAAACTCTCTAGACTACATGCTAAAATCTACATTTTTCACACGGAAAGTATTTTTTATATCTATTAAAACTAAAATATTTTAGCTAAGATCTGAACCGAATGCTGGGTGACAGTCATGTGAGCGAATGAGTAACAAGGGTAACTAATGGTGCGAACAGAAGATCTCTCCTTTCATTCCTTGCCACACACCCCTCCCCCCTCCATCCCATCTGGGTCTGGTGTCTGAACTGAAAGGTCACAACCCTGCTCTGACCTTTAACACACCCATTTTAGAGATCAGGTCAAGTTCAATAGTTGCCACACGCCAGACAAATCCCCCTTTCTGAAGGAGGAAACATGCCTAATCAAATACCAATGCAGACAGGAAACCAGGCTAGTCTAATCTACATCTGACAGATTTAAACAGATTTATTGTTTTTTTTTTCTTTGCTAAAATTACGAAAACTATCGTGGGGATTTTGTCTAAAACATTTGTAAAATGTATTTAAAGTACTTTAAGTTGTTAATAGATTTAATGTCTATTAACTTAGGCTAAAAACATTAAATTAGGCTAAAAAACAGTCCTTTAGACGTAGCTATTAAACTACAAAAGGATGAAACCAGACCCAATACTAACACACACATTTTGCCCACACAAAACAAGACTGAACAGTTCCACCCTGTGAAAATGTGACACTTCTCCTTAATAAATGATGTCTTATCGAAGGTTCCAATCAAAATATACAGCAGGACAACCTGCTCTTTCTTTCTAGTTAAACTGCATAGCGCACAGGAATGAAAATCCTTCACCAAAACCTAAAATTTATGGACACATGAGGCTCAACTAATGCAAAAAGTTGAGATTACATTCTGTTTACTCATTGTGTGACTTTACAAAAAAAATATTGCGTTATGCTTCCATAAATTAAAGGAGAAAAATAAATAAACGCCAGTGAAGTGAAATTTTGTACCACTAAAATGTTCAAATGGTCATATTTCAGAACATCATTATTGTTGCAGAAGTGTTAGAAAGACAGCCGAGGTTATGAGAATGCCACAGGCTGATGCTGACTGATGTGTTTTGTTCAGTTTTGCATGAAGACTGAGTTCACGAAGTGCTGCAAGAATGAAGACCAGTTTATCAACATCACACTTTACTGAGAACTGAAGAAAGGGGAAAATCACACTGAAAAGATCTTCACACAGAGGACATAGAGAGAGGGAGGGTTAAAAGAGAGAAACAGTGCTGAATAGCTCTTAGTAGTGCATAAATAGAGAAAATGAGCTTAATGCTCACATGGTAATGAAATCAGAGCAAGTCTTGACCATGAACAGTCTCTCTCACCTTGGTCTCTCTCATGCCAGGGTCTGCTGGCCGGTGAACTGGGGGATGGGTAGAAGTCTGGCCCGGTGGGACTAGTCTCCATACTGTCCTCTTGGATGGTCTTAGGCCGCTTACTGCAGAGGACAGAAGAACATGCATTCATCTGACTTCTGACTACACCAATCTGTGCCGTGACATTGATTAAAATATAACCAATATTGTAATTATTGGTTATAAGGGATATTTTAATGAACTTTGACCCAAACTAACTCTAAATGTAACATATTGTGGGGCAAATTTTAATTAATACATTTAAACATAGCATACACAGACAAAACTGTTTTAATTTAGCTTTAGAACAGTGTTTTTCTTCAAATATTTTCTTCAAATAAAAACACTGCTTTTGTTGTCTTTGTTTAGCTGATCTTTTGTGAAGCTGATCTTACACTGAAGACAACAAACAGGTTTAATAATGTATGTGTTTGAACATGCATGCTAACCTGCCAGGAGGAGATGAGAGGGACCGGTGTAAACTCACTCCTGAGTTCAGTTCTTGATAATATGGCTGACTTGGCATGTCAGCCATAGGGAAGTTCACTCCTGAACCCTGTGTGATAGGAGCTGGTGAGACGTAAAAGAAAGAGAGACAGTGTTTAGGGATAGGTAGAAATGTCGAGTAACTAACATCATTTTGGCATAAAGAGTCAATCAACTAAATCACGTTTAACGCACTCTTTCTGGCTCTCAGTTAGAAGCTGTTATTCAGGGCAGAATTTGCATGAAGGCAAACCCAAACATGTAGCTGTAACTCAATCTAAGAGAGAACAGCCGTAGGGGCTGTAACAGTATGAAGTGTGTCAGAGATATCATATCTACAGAGAAACCACAAGAGCCAGAGCACCGTTCAGCGGTCTAACCTCTGTCACTAGCCTCTTTGTTTACATACAATAGCATGACAATGCTAGTTTGGTCTTTCATGAACAGATACTGTAGCTCTAAACCTACTATTCCTTAAAAATATAAACATACCTTTCATAATATGCTGGTGATTTATAAGCTGGCTAATGTACACTGTAGCACCGAAGCACACCTACAGTATCATTGGCAGTATCTGTGTTTATAAGGCAGTGGTTTTGGTTTCAAGGGAGCACATGTACTGATAACATACATTTCATGTTATAAGCTATAAGTTGCTCTGAATACAAATATTTGCCAAATGCAAAAAAAGTACATTTTATATTACATTACATTATCTATTATATTATTGTATTTAAGTTTAGAAATGTGATATTATTTCCAATCATTAATCTGGAAGATTCTGTTTAGGGGCGGTGTTACAGTAGTAGATAGAAAATATAATTAGCTTTGTAAAAAAAAAAAAAAAAAAAAAAAAAGCATTAGTCCTGTGTACAGTCCTGATAAGGATTGGTGTACAAACTGGCTGTTGTATAACATATGTATGTATATATTATAAAACCACAAACACATGGCTAAAAAATATTCTTACTGAATTAATATGCAAGGCTTGTGTTTAGTGTTAATTTCATATACACTATATACGAAGAGTTCAGATGCAAAAGCCTCTAAATGCCATTTGAAATTTTCTTCTTTAATGATGATTTTTTTTTTAAACTTGTATATATAAGTTCAGTAATTTCACTTAAATAACAATTAATAGGTAATCTTCATTGCCATTTAAGTGAAATCACTGAACTTAAATATACAAGCTTGATAAAAATCATCATTAAAGAAGAAAATTTCAAATGGCATTTAGAGGCTTTTGCATCTGAACTCTTCATATATATATATATATATATATATATATATATATATATACATTTAAAAATGTCTCTTTTGCAGTAGTTTAAGGAGATGTGTCATGAAGTTTTAGCAGAGTTTGTCTTTTCATGTATGACATGATATGACCTGAGGCTCTGAGGTGCAGGAAACACATAAAAAATGGTTGTCAGTCTCTGCTGGCACTGCGCCAAAGACCAGCTGCCACCACATGAATGCAGGTGAGCAGGTATGACATTTGTTCTAGTTAATATGAGCACCCACAACAATATATACAGTGTTCACTTTAACCTCATCTGAACTGCATTACAGAGCAACACAATGCTCATTAAATTATCCATTTTAAACCCTAAGTGTGCAATAAACTGTCAGTTTGTTCAAGTGTTGACAGACCTTCCATTGTTCTGCTGTTTTTTGGTACGTGCCGTTTTCTTCAGGTAAGTCGTATATATGGCTGTAGGATCATAGAGGCCACAATGATGGCAGTGTGTGTGTATGTGGGACAGATCGAGAGCGTCGTGTTACATTTAGGTGTGACATGGATCAGTTACAGCGTCACCAAGTGCATCATACACCCTTATGGTGAATATGAGTGTCTTTGTGTGTGTGTGTGTATGTGTGGAGGGTAAATGTGAGTGTGTTTTTCAGACCCTGATAAACCCTATGGCAATTAGTACAAATCTTGCCTGAGGGCAAAATTGTCCTCAGCTATCAAAGAGAGGTTCTTTTTTGGAACATCTGTCATCCTCTCTGATGAGAACAGGCATGTCTACACAAACTACTGTATGCTTGTGCACCAAAACTTGTGAACACACACACACAAGACCCACTAGACTGGATTTTCCACAGATGTTCTGGGCAAGTCCCTCCCTTGCTAAATCAGGAATGCCTCAGCATAGACATAGAGCATGCTGGTTTTGTTGCTCTGTATGTTTACTTAGCTATACTTGTGGGTTGAAGCTGACGCAAGAAGTTAGAAAAAAATCCCCTTGGAGACAACCTCCCTAAATTCATTTGTAGAATATATATAAATGCAAAGAAATATAATCCTAACACTCATTTAAACATTCAGATCCCTTCTAAAAACGCTAAATATTTTATTTTTTAAACTAGGTTATGGGTTTAGTAGATTCATATTTATACTAGTAAAAACTAAAGTCCATGGTGTGCCCTCATTTATTAAGATAAATGTGTTTTTATAGGTTTAGCTATATTTTAAGACCCATTTTTTTTTTAAAATGTCCCAACACATTTAGTGAAACTTTTCAAATAATCTACTTGCCAGGACATATGAAGTGGTTCACACTATTTTAAGGCCATGTTTACATAAAATCTACTGATTTCAACAGATTTATCTAATGAATAGGTTCAGAGGCAGATCTACTGTACAGAGGTGGTATGGGATGGCAACTGGCATCCTAAAAAAAAAAATTGTCACCCAATCTGGCACCCAGTATAAAATATAAACATAAGCAATTTCATGTACTGCTTTTCAGTAGTGCAGCAGCATTTGATGAAAAAAAAAAAAAAAAAAAAAAAAAAAAAAAAAGTGTACCACAAAATAATGGGAAGAAAACAATTTTTTCTATAAACTGTCCCTGTGGGTTGCACACACATGGACCATTCCCTGTGTAGACAGCTTCATTAAAAATGACTCTTATGAATCAGTTCTTAGTGAGTCAGAAACACACATCGCAACCAGTGTAGCCCTGTTTATCCATTTGTTCATGAATTTGAAGATGTATGCTTCTTGGCAGAGGTTTTCTGAGAATCTAATCTTGTCCATATATGACGTGAGTGAATTATATAAATGCCCGTTTCACTTTTATAATGAATATAGACTTTTTTGCCATCTGATAATAAAATTAAATTAAATCAATAAGGAGATCCCAATCATGGAAACTGACAGCAGAGTTGGGTAAGAATCTAATCTTAATTAACTAGATTGAAAAGTTTAAAAGACACATTTGTTGTTGGCTTGCCTTTTTTTATTATTAAAAATAGTTTGAAGTTAGGTCAGAATAGATACATAGATGATCTGAGTGTTCAAGTGTTGCTGTTGTTCAATTGTGCAATTCGACCTAAATAACTTTTAGACAGAATAGATTTCACATAGCAACCATTTCACATATTCATGAACATAAATGTCTATGTCAGGCCAAAAATCTACAATAACTATGCAAGGATATTTGCTTTGGTGTTGCTGCCTAATAGTCCTCATGCTACCCATAAATATTGTTTCTAGATCCTTCCAGAGTAGGTTTATGCATTTGCAGTATCTTTACCTGTAAAAAATATAAATCCATGTACTTGTTTTAAAATTGTATAAAACCCTGCGTCTACGAGATGCCCTCACTAACATACAGTAGTGAAACCAGTTTGTGTATGTGTGTGAGTGTGTGTGTGCGCATGTTTAGAGAGAGAGAGACTTACTTCTGGATACTCTCACCAGCTCCGAAACACTAAAGACCCCTGATTTAATAAAGCTCTCTTCCAAGTAAACTGTGGGAGACAAAAGCATTTTCTTCAGACACATGTCCTTACTTAACACATACACATGAGGACATTTCAAATGCTGTGTGTTTGGTAAGCAGGCATCAGAAAACATTTTAGTTTCCACATAGATTAAACAAATCTTTAGTCCTCGTCTCAATCTATTTTTTAGTTTCAGGGACTGTAACAAAACTAACTGTGACTTGTATTATGTACAGACTAGAGATAGATTAGGGTCAGAGAAAGCCAACTAGTACATAACACTGCATTCCAGACTTGAGCCAAAAAAAGGCCAGCCCCACAGGGTCAGCCTCCTAGAGCATGCCAGGAAAATTCAAATCTTTCCCACAATGCATCGGAAAGCCCAACAGGATGGCTTGTGTTATATTAATGGCCATTTCTTCTTTTTTCTTGCAAAAATCACAGACATGAAATGGTTGGCTTTCATATTCTTATCAAGTAAGCCTGTTTTGGTATAATTTCTCTAAAAAAGCAAAAGAGTTCAACTAGAAGACAGGGTAGGTTTTTTTGTGGTACTGGAAAGGAAAATTAAAAAATAAAGGAAAGTTTAGCTTTAATTCACAGCTGCTAATTAATTACATGACATATATTTATAGTATAGTATAGTATAGTATAGTATAGTATAGTATATATATAGTAGTATATATTATAGTATAGTTTATTTGAGACCTGGTTTGGTTTGAACTGATCAGTAGTTGTACAGTAAGTTGTTTCAGTGGCAAATGACAAGATAAATACAGTATCTGTTTCTCTTCTCTGAATATGAGTTATAGGCCTACAAGTACAGCTTATTTCAATTTACAAATATATGTACACAAAAACACATACATCTCACAAACTCATGGGTCCCACACCTTTTGATAATTTAATTTTCATTATGTTTTTTTTCTAGTCATTTGTGAATGATTACTAGATTAGATTTTCATGAATTTGTTATTTAAATTAAATAAAACGTTTTTATCATTGTATAATTACTACTCTACATTTCTAGCTGATGAAATAATTCAAAGGTGCCCTAGAATGTGAAATTGAATTTATTTTGGCATAGTTCAATAACAAGAGTTCAGTACATGGACATGACATACAGTGAGTGTCAAACACCATTGTTTTCTCCTTCTTATTTAAATCTCGTTTTTGAAAAACACCCCTGAAAAATAGGCGAATCTCTAAACAACACCGACTATGATGCAACAGTCGGGATCATTAATATGTGCGCCTCCAAACATTTGCATATGCCAGCCCATGTTCAATGCCAGGTAGAACTGCGCAGCCGAAGCATAGCAGTTGCTCAATGTTTGGATGTACACATGAACACAAAAGTATTTTTTAGTTCCTTCATCTGAGCCTCTGATGAAACAATGGCTTAATTTTATTTTCTCTGGAAATGCGCCGAAATATTTCACCGACGACTGTTTCCTCAACTTGGGCCAACACAGAGCTGGCCTCGATGAACGTCTGAAAATAAATCGGTCGAGCTACCAAGCAACAATTTCTGATATGGAAATGTAACAATTTCTGATGTGCAGATACTAAATCTTTCTCTCAAAATCGTTCAATAGTGTTTTTGCATCAGTAAGTCAAGCCAGTGACTAAAATATCAACTTCACATAGTTTCCTTTAGTAGGAAGAAAAAAACGTATTTTAATTGTGAATAAATTATATAAAGAAAGAGTTCAAAGAACAATCTTTCCACACAGCGTGAGTTTATCTGGACACTTGCCAAATCAATGACGCACGTTACACTGCACAACGAAGCTCTTACTGTACATACTCATCGTGTTTGCATTGGTGACAGCATTAGAGAGAGTGCAGAAACTGTATTGCAATGATAAGATCTTCTGCTGTCATCTGCTTGATCAATGGCCATCACAGCAACATTTTATGTGATGGGAGAGATCTAAATACTTTAAAAACTTCTCACGATTCGTTAATCTTTATAGCTGTAATAGTAAAAACATATAATAGCTGTAATAAAAGTATTTGAGAAAGTTTCACATTTGCAAGCATGTCGGCCAATCACAGCCGTGGCCGGTTACACTGAATCCCACAGCAGACACTCCCCTTCAAACAGAGCGTTCAAATCAGAGACTAAAATCAGGCTGGAAAAATGCCTTTTATTTCTAAATTATGACTATTTTTGATTAAAAAATACTAACATTATAAGGGCAACCCAGAAAACATTATAAAATAATAGAATAGCCCCATTAGGGCACCTTTAAGAAGTGAGCATAACTCAAAATATTTTTAGATTGTCCATGTCTTTGGGAACCCTAAAACAATATAATCAAAATGAAATAAACAACCATCTAACATAGAAGTCATACAGGATTTATCTGTCTTTATGGGGTGTCATTATTATGGGTACACAAGAACCTGGTAATAGTTTTATGTGCATTTGTGCATTAATGTATTACGTTGACATACCTGGAGGGTTCTTGCCAGGCTCATTGTTGCTTGGACTTCCTGACTGTTGAGAGTCTGAAAAGACAAATAAAGTTGGTGGATTAAAACACAAACCCCAGAAAGAACAGTAGGACTACAGATGACAGTACTGCACTTCACTCTAATTTATCATCCACTTGGCAGTGTTTTCCAAAGTTTGTTTAGCTGCTTTGGTTTTGTTGACATTAGGAAATGAGGAAAATTCAGGGAAAAAAAAAAATCAAACAACAAACAATAGGATCCAAAAGACCACATTTTACATTTTAACCTGGAAAAAAAAAATTGGAAAACTTTAAGATTTTACAACATGGAACATCACTGGTATAAACTGAGAACAAATGATTTCCGTTTCTGCAAATTTGTGACTGATCATGTGTGAACTCTTTGTAAAAAAAATGGTCAGATGCTCTTTGGATCATCACAAAGCATGCTGAAGAACATGATCATCAGGTTTTATACATCATGCAGATTGATTAAAGCAAATAGGCAACAAACCCAACACAAAGAAATAACTTGGTACAGGAAACACCCTGAAAAGGAAACTACAGTTTCTGGGTCCTGACAGGACAGGCCAGATGTGTGCAGTTACATGCTTGTTTCTTTCAGTGAGAGGGGACGGGAGAAGAAAAGAGGAAGGAAAAAGAAGGATTTAGGAACAGGTAAAGGCAAAGCTGAAACGTGCCTCAAAAGTAAAATGGAGATACAATACACACCCCACCTTGAAGAGCATGAGCAAAGAAGAGGAGTAGGGGAGGAAAAGACTCATTCCTGCCATTGATGTGTGCTTTAAGTGTTGACATAATTAATGATGTTACCTTACAAAACCTTTAGGAAGACCCTTCCTTGATCCTACAGTGCTTGCATTATCCTAGTCTTTTCAGGAAGTCATTTAATAATCTGCTTATTTCAAGATCCCACCAAGCAACATATTAGGGATTTGTTGCTATAAAAATTCTGGACGATAACAATAAACCGATAAATATAATCAAGTTATAGACGATTTTAAAATCCTATGCGATTTAATTAATAAAACCCAATGAAATCAATAGCTTTAAATTGAATTTAGGTATTGCAACATTCTATTGTATAGGAGGAAAATGCTTTTTTATATTACATTTAGATTGCTTTTGCTGTCATCTAACATTTATTTAAATGTAAAAAAAAAGAATAAATGAGGTTGTGCAAATAAATATCTACCAGATGATCTATATATTCAATATGGATTGATATTTATAATAATCAAGCAATCATATAGGCCGATAACCAATATAATACTAAAACATCCCACATGCTTAAACAATAAGGCATTTCTGTTTTATTGTTTTGTTTTTTTACCTAAAAGTTGCAATAAAACTCCTTTTAGTTAACCGACCAACTCAACACTGAAATCGGACAATGCAATTATGAATGATGGCTAAATATATTGGCTTTTAGTAAATAAATGTGGGGAAAAAGAGAGAAAATGAGCTGGAACATTACTCTTGTTCCTTCCTAAGCTTCATTTCAGAAGTGAAAGTTAAAAGGGGAGAGAAAGAGATAGAGAGATGGGAATAAATCCCACCCCCCTCAGAAATGACCATTAAACAGAGCTGCAAAAATGGAATGTTCTTGGCTTCAGCTCAACAATGACAAAGAAAGGGAGGGAACACCATATATTAAGAAGAAAAAAGTCTGGAGAAAATTAAGATAGAGCCAGAGGAGGAGAAAAATCCCCACTCATGGTTTGTCCTGTGCATTTGTTAGAAATTAAGAGTTATTTCTGCATTAAGCTCCGACTATTTTTTTACCCCCACATAATAAGTAGTGTTTGAATCATGAAAGCGTATTGGACCATTGGCCAACAGCTGAGTTTTTGATTGGACAGAAGCAGGTTGGCATTGTGACAGTGCCCGTTCCTATGCCAACTACCCTCCCCCTACAATTTACAAGCAAGTTCTACACCATCCATCAGTCTGCTGACATCCAAAACATCTACTATACCGATGCTCCAAGAGAGAAAACAGAAATGGAGAGAGGTAAAGGAATAGTTTGCATCTCTAAGTACAATCTTGCATGGATGTTGAGTGATTAAACACAGGTCACATCAATAGAGCAGATAGCACACACTTTTAAACAGCTCCAGACACACTGCTACGGCACACAAAGAAATAAAGAAACCATGGCTAATTTCAGGAGGATATTCAATATTTTTGTAATAAATATAAAATAAAGTTTACGTTTTTCCATAATAAGTAATACCACATCTACAAGCGCCAGCTCTTTTGTAAAGTTTAATATGGCATATATTGTACACTCACTGGCCACTGATTACTTTATTTAGACTCACTGGTATACCTTGTTCAACTGCTCATTAATACAAACATCTAATCATCCAATGGCAGCAACTCAATTCATTTAGGCATGTAGACAAGATGATAGGTCAAGACTATCTGCTGAAGTTCAAACTAAGCATCACAATGGAGAAAAAAGGTGATTTAAGTGACTTTCAACATGGCATGGTTGTTGGTGCCAGACGAAAATGCTTCCTTGATGCCAGAGAATGTCCAGACTAGTTTAAGCTGATAGAAAGACAATTTTAACTAAAATAGCCACTCGTTACAAACGAGGTATGCAGAAGAGTATATCTGAACACACAACGTGTCGAAACCTTGAAGTAGATGTGCTACTGAAGCCACTCTAGGGGGAAAAAACAGGAAACTGAGGCTACAATTAAAAACTGGATAATAGAGGAGTGTAAAAACATTGACTGGTCTGATGAGTCTTGATTTCTGCTGCCACATTCAGATGGTAGGATCAGAATTAAACAACATAAAAGCATGGAGTAAACATGTATCAACGGTTCAGCCTGCCGCTGGTGGTGTATTGGTGTAGAGCATATTTTCTTGGCCCACTTTGGGCTCCTTAGTACCAATGGGCTATATGCACGCATAAATTCCGCATTTGACGCAAGGATGCTCGTCCATTTCCGGTTGTGGAGATTAAAGCGGAGGAAAACCGAGGAAAACGGGATTATGGCAGAGTCTTCAAAATTTACTGTCCTCCAGTCTTTGAAATGAAACGTACATGCGTTTAGATGTAATTTTATATATAGTTATATTTATTTAATATAATTTTAAAAAGAAGCATAAACACAACGAGGGGTGTCTGTTTTATCTGTTTTTGTGACTAACGTTTCATTAGTATAACCATGGAGTATAAAATTCAATATAAATTCTCGGTATTGCATTGGACTCTACGATCGGCGGAAGTTATCGAGCATCCCTAATGCTTCACCGGAAATACCGCCGTGCATAGAGCCCATTGAGCATTGTTTAAATGCCACAGCTTACTTGAGAATTGTTGCTGACCATGTCTATTTCTTTATGACCACAGTGTAAGCAGCAGATTAACGCGCCACGACGCGTCACAAAGCTCAAATGATCTCAAACTGGTTTCTTGAAGATGGCAATGAGTTCACTATACTCAAATGGCCTCCACAATCACCAGATCTCAATCCAGTAGAGCACCTTTGTGATATGGTGTAATGGAAGATTTGCATCATAAACCGTTTTTCTACGGTTGGGCCGAATGGTTCTAAAAACAGTAAGGAACAGTTCCAGTTATGTTTCCATTTGAAGGGCACGATTACAAACCATTCTCCACGTGAAATTCTCAGCACGGTCAGCTGACCATGCTGGTAGAATGCGTGTAGTGAGGTTACCACTCAGGATTGGTCACATGTCTGTTTTATTATTTTTTGGCAACCAGTTTCTCTGTAGCTGACTATTTGAGCAACGTAAACACAAATTAATAATAAATTAAAAGAAATATCTGATCATCTTCTATGACGTGATAGTTTTCTCATATCATCAGTAAACCGTTGCATTACCAAGGCAACGACTGACACATTTGTATTACAATCCAAAGAGCTCCGTTATCAGCCCCAGTGGAAAATTAAACCATATCCGTGCCGGCAGGGCCGGATCGGCACGGAATGGAATAGTTAAGCAAAGAGAAAGGTTTCACCCAACAGTAGAAAAGTGGCAAAAGATGTACAGATGACAAATCTGCAGGTACTAAATGATGCTGTCATAATCTCCGAGGAATGTTTCCAGCATCTTATTGAATCTATGCCACAAAGAATTAAGGCAGTTCTGAAGGCAAAAGAAGGCCCAACCTGGAACTAGTAAGATGATAATAATGTGTGTGTGTGTGGCTGTGTATGTGCGGCTGTGCTTTACACATGGTGGGGCGTTTGAATAAGCAACCGATGGTTCGCTCTGAAAATAAATATCTATAAGCCACACATCACACATTTAAACAGTTTGGCCAGGGCAGTGCTGTATATGTGTGTGCGCGCTTGTGTATAAGAGAGAGACAGCTCCCAGAAACACTCTGAGCTTCTCCAAACACAACAACCCTTGGCACCCAACATCCCTGCCACTTGTTTAAACAAACAAACTGTCCGAGGAGAGAACATGGAAGAGAGAGGGCAGACTGAGGAGGGGAAAATGAATCTTTCCTTTCTTTGTGCAGTTGCCCATGAAGAAAGTATGGTATAACAATTTTTATCTGAAGAAAATGTAGACTGTGTGCCCAATGCTATACTCTTTCCCATCATGATAGGGTGCCCTTGAGTAGTTGCTAGAGCATTGCAATACAGTTCCTAAGGTCTTCTGAGTGGTCTGCAGCATGTTAATATACTGTTGTTAAGGTATTCTTAGTGTTTGCCAGCGCATTTCTATCTGGCCCCCTAAGAGTCCACTTCCAAATCCAATGACATTCTGCACTCTAAAACCCTATGGGATATTTAAACCGATTTTATCATTCGCCAGGTGAGAATCAAAAGTCTGATGGTAAGAAAAGCAGTAGCAGAGTTCTCCTTATAGGCTGTGACACACAGAGCCAACATCAACAAACTAGTAGCAACAAAAGCCATCTGTGTTGTCGCTTTGTGTAGTCTGTTTTTGGGCCAAAAAAATCATTTTCGAATACACCACAAAGACTACAGCCAACGGCCAACTAGCACATGTTCTACACCTGCGTTAAAAGAAATAACTTTCCATAACAGTAGGTGGCGGTAGTCTATATACGTTATTCAAAAAGGGAAAATAGGACTGTGGATTTTGAATATGAAACATGTTGTTCAGTTGGTCTTCACTTTCTTCGTTCTGGCACCAATTCAACATGCTCAATTGGCCGAAAAGTTGCAAACGGTGAACGACTAGTGCCAATGCTGCGGGACACACAGCAAAAACTGGGCCGATAGACCCTAAATGATGGCACTGGCTGGTGGCCGAATGTTAGATTGGTGTGTCACGACCATAAAATGCCACACAATCTGAGCTCATGTAACTTCAAATAGGGACAGTTCACCCCAAAAAAATTAAATTCTGTCAATATTCACTCACCCTCAAGTCATTCCAAAAGTGTATGTCATTGTGTCTGCTGTGTAATATAAGATGATATATAAAAATTGCTCTTTTTTTCCTATACAATGGAAGTCAAAGGGCACATTTTAATAATGTAAATGATGACAGAATTTTCATTTTATGGGTGAACTACATTAAGCAACATTATGCTTTTCTTGGTGACTAAAAATCTAAGACGAAGACATTCGATCTAAGATCATATCCACATGAATAAAAGCAAGATGAGCTCATCGCGGATCGCTTGAACTTCATAAATATGATGCCCTAATGTATCCTCGTGCCACCTAATCTACTGGATAGCATCCATACAGCTGTCACAATTATACCCTCAGCACTTCTGCCACCTGCAATGTAACGTGATGTTATTCTGCGGGAAGAATACCTCCAAT